TTAGACTTAGAACAAAGGTTTAGTTACCTGAGTCGAGTTTCCTAAACTGTAAATATTTTTGTAAAATCATCTATATGCGACATTATTTGTAAAATTTTGTATGAATATGGGAAATGTATTACTTACTATTATTTATAACCATTGTATGCCATTTATATTTTCAAATAGAACCAAGAAATACTGACAAAATAATGTATCTGTTAATAGCGATAAAAAGATTATAATCAAAATATGATTTTTATCTAATCAATATGATGTTCAATATCATTGAAAACAACACATTCGTATGTATATAGGGGCATACGAAACGGACTTACACAAATACACAAAACTGATATTTTATTTTCCATTAGTACAATACTCATTCGCACGCGTTTTATATTCAAAGGCTGTCTGAACCAGCAATAATTGTTATTCCGTAGACGACATGTTAAAAAAACTATTGACATGTCTGGACATGATCGGGGAAAAAAGAGGAACTTGAATGAATACTCGATGGTACAGGGAAAATTAAATTAGACAATGTGGTCATTAGTCCGATTAATAATAACATTATATTATTTACTTATATATACAAACAGTAGCTGTTTAAATGCATAAGCTTTTTACCCGTTAAAACGATCAACCAACCAACCAAATCAACCCAGATCACCCATACCAGACGCTTAGGATATAGCAAAATGGTGCCCAACTCAGCTACTGGTACGAGGGTAAGAAACAGTTTCTTACTAATCGTTATTAAAGGACAAATTTATTATACTATTTTAAATATGTTTACGTAGAAGAAATTTCTTTATTTTAAAAAATCACCGTGCTCGAAGGACAAAATGTCCCTATATCTTATGCTGTTCTAAAGAGAAACAAGCTTATCTTTAAGTTGTACATGTATTTATTATTAAAACAGATCTAAAAATAACACATTGTTTAGACTGACAAAAAATGAGTTTTATGGCCGAGCCCTAGGGGAGAGCACCTGTCTTGAATACAACACCTGTGGAATATATTACTAACCCCTCACTGTACAAGTTGGTACAAAAAATCTCCGTTTAAGGGTAATAGAGGAGTAAACATATATCATTTTACTTATATTTTCATTAATTTTAATAATTGTTGACTTTTAAATTAACTCTCGTAACGTTTGTAGTAGGATATTGAGATAATGAGTAGGAGACTAGTAGAGCCAATCATTATGTTTAATAAAATATAAAGTGCATTTTAAATCTGCTATTTCATTTGTGTTGCTTTATCAGACTTTTTGTAACATATTTTTCTTTACATGAAATGTAAGTAGAGTGATTTATAAACTCACACATTTTAATAAAAAAATATGCAGATCAGTAGTACTTAACATTTAGTACCTATTATTAAAGATTTTCTCGAAGTGATGTTTTTTTTCTAGTAAATAAAATTATATTATTATAAACTCATAAATATTAGTAATTCTAATAAGACTTCTATATCATTCAGATTAACCGAAACGTGAAAATACAATGAAAATGCAAATTATCGCCAATTTCGGTAAACTGTAGCCACGTAAAGTTTTATTTGCATAGTGGTTAGCAAACAACACTTGAGAAACGTCTCAATAAGTTTTATTGCTTGGAAATAATTTTACGTTTATTATGGGGTAAATAAATTATGAATAATAAATAAGACAGTCAAAGAAATACATATTCTTTGATTTTAATTAACATAAACCGTTTTAGAACGCTTAACTGATACAGTTTTTTGTTTAACCCATTTATTTTAATAATTAAAATATATATTTACTTTCTCTTCATTATATTATAGTGAATCAAATTAATGCCAAGCAGGCAGGCAAAGATAATCTAGTTTTAAATACTAATAAGTTGTATAGGAATCTAATTATTAGTTAAATTTGCAAATGTTCTTATAGGTAATAAATAAAAAATCGGTTTATTAAATTAAAGAACTTCCTGAACGCTAGCTTTGTAATATCGTGTATTAGAAGTAATCATTTTCACCATCGGACGGATTCCATTGGATTTCCAAATACGGTACAACATACCTATAAAAATCATATTTACTATTGTTGTTAGTCATTCATTGTCTTAAGTTTATGAGAGTTTTTGCTTAATTATTTTTATTAGACTCTTTCAGGTCTCATTTATAATTTAAATTCCCCGTCAAAATTGTTAAACATTTCTAAAAAGACAAAACGTGAGAAAAATGAGATAGTTTTTAACTTTATGGTGACGTGATAGTTTCCGGTGCTTTATATTTGATGATACTTTTATCGTATTCATAACGCTTATAAAAATAGCTAGTATTGACTCGTCGGTATCTGAAATAATCGGGAAAAATATGACACAAGCCACCAACAAAATGTATTTATTGTTCTCATGTTTAAATAACGGTTTATTGATTGGTTGGCGATACATTTTCCATTTAATATGATTAATGTGTAAGGTAGAAGAGTTATAATTATTACCATATTTCTCTCTCATTAAAGACTAACATAGTTCTTACCAGACGGAATATTTAATTGGAATTATTACAATCATTCGGGTAACACCAGTTTTGACAAAAAAGTTTTGTGACCATCGATGCGTACCATTTCACTTGAGTTGTTAAGCGTGACTTACCTTTACTTATATTTTAATCACAAAGGACCACACAGCTTTGAGAATCCTTTTATATTACTTTGTAAGCATAAAGCTGTTGTAATTGAAAGTCATAACAGTGAGTGGTAAGTTTTAATAAACATAATTTAAAATTATGGTAATTGCATGCACATGAATTTTGCTAAATTTTGAGTGAGTATAATTAAAATTATAGTGTATTAAACAAATTAATTGTGTGTGTTATCGTATTAAAACGAAAGAATATATAAAATCGTCACAATGTAATTCTATTCTTCTTATATTTATTGACGTGTTTAATAAAAAATTAAGTCTTCATAAGTTGTTGTATAGGTATATGAATAGCTATGGGGACCATAATTAAAATCTTCATTTAAATAAGAGTAATATCCAGCAAAGTATAAAATAAACTTGAACCACATTTATTGGTGACTGATTCAGGATAAGCGTTAATTTTGTTTCGAATTGAACTAGTTAATAAGGTGAACTTTAGTCTACTTCAAGAAGTTTTCTGTCTTTTAGCAAGTTTACTTAAATAAACATATCTTTATCATGTAATTTTCTCATATTCCTATCAAATTGACGGTAGCGTTAGTGGTTATCGTATATAGCGTAGGTTTTAGGTTCGATTTCCAGTTAAAAATGTCCCGGATTCGGAGACATTTACTACCTATGGTTAACGAATTGCAGAACTGTCTCGACCCCATGGCGACTAACAAGTAATAAAATGCTATAAAATAATTAAAAGGCGCACTTCAGAGCAGTTTTTATCTTTTACAATTTTAAGTAAGACTATTTCAATTATATCTATTACGCCACAGTTCGCACTTGATTTTCAGTTATTTTGCGTATTAAGATAAAACAAAGGATTTCAATTATGTTACAACAAGTCCCGTAGGTTTGTAAACTGTAAACAGAGTTATTTTTGAGTTGATTGACGAGGCGGCCTGACACTGTTTACGACTTGGTACACGTTATAATGTAAGTCAAATATTTACACGCTTAAATGTCTTTTCAGCTTTCTGGTTCTATTTATGTAAAAATGAGATGAATTTAGGGCTGCTAATTAATTTTAGAAAAATTTATGTGAACGGTAAATTTAGAATAGTTAGACTTATAATATTGTTTGTATATTTAATTGCTTCCTGATTTAGGCACCTTTAATATTTTTTTGTGAATATAAATTTGGAATAAAGATTTATATCATTGCTTGCATAACTATTAATATTAGTTTTAACTTCTGGAATGATCGATCATCTTTGAATTTTAAAATATAAATTTGTGGTACTAGTGTAAAATTTTCACTAAGATTTAACTGAAATATATTTTTTGTTCGCTTATAATTTGTCTGGTTTAAAATGTATGTAGTTTTTGGGATTGTTTGAGTGCCGTGAAAATCAAACATATTGTATAAAATAATGAATTTATTTCACAATCACCCTCATGGGTTTGTCTTAACACAATCCAATTATGATAATGATTACATGCGGCTTAACTACTTGTGAAATAATAAATGTATCGAAAATGGCTTATAAGTATAAAAATCACAAAGTTAAATGCAATATTTACAATTTAAACATCTACAGCATAAAATTATTTTCATTTTACATTTTTTTAAGTTTTCGCTTTATCGAAACAAAACATAATTGATTAAAATATTATTTTAACAAAATATCCGTTTATTTACAGGTGGTAAATTAACAATTCTTATATTTAGATAAAGTACATAGATTTGAATTTATTTGCCAACTCGTATTTCACTAATATTTGGCGTAAATCGAAAATGTACCTAAGAATAATTCATGACTATCGGATATTTGGAACTAAAATAAAATTTGAGATCCTCACGAAAAAATCATATTAAATGCTAGAAGCCACAAAACAATAATTAATATTACAATAAATTAAACTACCATTAAACTACACTATTTAAAATTGTTAAAACAAAAAGAGATCAAATGGAAATGTTACTAAATATTAAAACTTAACAGAGCTAAAATAATATTTCTTCGGATGAATGTTGGCGAATAAAAAAAATGGAAATTTAAGTTTCGTTGTTTTAAAATCGTAAAAATATGAACACAATTCATTGTAACAATATTAGGTCGTTGTTATTAACATTATAATGTATAATGTATTCCTACGTATCGCGGAGGCGTTTTGTCGAACTTCACTCAAAATTTCAAAGCAAAATTCATGAGAAGCAAAATTGTGTTAATTGCAAAACGAAACGAAATGCATAATCCATGCGATTCGTTTCTCGACCACCATTTACAATTTAAGTGCAGTTTGACACAACATCTCTGAACAAACAAATTAACTGGACTTAAAAATACGTAACAAATGTCCAATCTGCTTTGCAGTATCACTTTTAACAATACTTATCTAAAATCTTCTTTATCTCACTGTATTGAAGAGAGATGACGCCAGGGACACTTTAAGGATGGCTAAAACCATCACCAAGTTCACGATGTAGGTCGAATTGCATCTTAAGTGGTAAGGTGGTGTGTTAGGCTCGCGAGGGCACTCACCTCGGCGATTGTCCTGCACCTCTTGGCCAGGATGTCGTGATACCAAGATGTGGCATAGAACCTCGTACAGCTCGGCTAGGAGCCGGTTCAACCGTGAAAAGTTCTCCTCTGCCGACTCTCTCTCACTTGGCAAGTTGAATGCTATTGCCATCTTTGTCTCTCACAACGCCTTTTTCTACGGAAGAAGCGTGGACAGATTGCGGTTTGTTTTGTATACATAAATGCTGTGCGCGTTCTTGTCACGACGCACTTGGGTTTTATTTATTTTTATTTCCCCAATTATATTAGTTAATTGTAGACGTATTTTGGATTTTACAAAACTTTTATTTATTTCTTCGTTTATCAAATATAAAAGTTTTTATATTTAACAAAAGTTCACTTTTACACTCGGTTCACAGTCACTTTAAGTTTGGCGGCGAAGAGATACGATCTCAAAAGTTCACAAATACACCAGAAGTTTTTTTCGAAAACTCCACAACGAACATTGTCCGTGATTCACTCGCAATTTAGCGATAACCGGCGCTCGGTCGATGACACAATCGCGCTAACTAACGCACTATGCATCGCTATGGCTTTTCGTAAACAAACTGAAACTTCGCACTCCGCTCCACAAAAGAGGTCGACAGACGACTATTGTACGTGCGGCCAGCGCGGAAGCGTATCTTGTAATAAGGGATAATACTTCGTGCACATCATTGCCTCGTTCGACGCTAAGCTACATGTGTGCGTGGTGCATAACGTAAGGACACGCTCACACAGCTGCAGCTATTTGATTATAAATAGTTGAACGCACGGTAGCACGTTACCTTCGCACTCTACAACTACAATCAACCGTGACACCGTTAGCCCTATCCTTTTCGCTCGCGGTGTGAAAAAAATCTTCCCTCTCATTTCTCGAGCTGGTTACATCACTGTCACAACAGTATCCATAGATGTAGGTTTTCTCAGTCTGCTTTTAGGGTTTGATCCCTCTGCGAAAGGGATAGCATGTTGTGTAGAGGGTTTGTTTTGAGGATAGAAAGCGCGGCAAAGTAAATTGGCCAATGGGTGAGGAGAATTAGATGGGGTGAGGTGACGTAAGGCCGGAGATATCGAGTGCACGGGGTTGATGGTTGTGGAGCGCTCACTTTGCTTTGAGCTTTCGGCTGTACTTGTTTCCGTGATATCTATGATTTAACGACTCTTTGTTCACACGTCCGTTAATCTGGTTTTAATGCGAGTTTAGGATCGAGCCATTTGACTCCGTGATAGAATTTACGCGTGTGTTTTATTTGTAATTCAGTAATGGTTTAGTTTAGTACGATGTTAAACGGTTTTATATCCGCGGTTTTGCCATAAGTTAGTTTGTGCAATCGAAGGTGCTTTTTGGGTTTATTGGCATTTAGAGGCGAGTAAGAACCTTTGTTTAGACTTGATATGGGTAATAAAAAGATAGCATTAAACTTTAAACCGTTGCGTTAAAACACTTAGTAAGTATTACGATAGTGTTACGAAAAAAGTAAGTGAAATCACTTAAAATAGTTTTATGTAAAATGTAAAACTTTAGTGGACTTTTAGTTTTGATTTTACGTCAAATATAATTTTTTTAGTTGTTTATAGTTTATTAAATACAATTATAATTTTATAGACCCGCGCTTAACTTATACGCATAAAAGAGAACTAGATCACCTTTGGTAAAAATATAACTTAAACATGTAATGAGGAATAGAGATTATTACCAATTCAAACATAGCAAGTACACCAAATAAAGCCAAACTATGAAAATTGAATGACATTTTTTTTCAGGTTAAAAAGGTAAGACCCTTATTATAACAAAACTTATCATTCACTGATTGTATATAAACACCGTAATCACATAATTATTCAAATAAAAACACAAAATTGTAACACACAATTACAAAACTTTACAACTAATATTAAAAACTTTACACAATATTTTAGCAACTCACATTTTGACCACAACGATATGAAAACACTACTAGGTATGCCTAAAAAATACCTACTTTAAATATTAGGTTATGGTGGGGACGCCAAGTTTTGATGACTAAGAAAGAAATATTATTATGTAGTTGCATCATCCTTAAGCAAGCCTTAAGTGGGTCAGACAAGTTGAAGCTAAAGTTTAATATACAGAAAGTAATATATAATTGTGTAAAATTGCTTTTAATACGAAATACTGTTAGCAACTAAACAGAATTTAAGTTGTGACTTTTCCGTAACTACTGTTATGATAAAGACAAGTATTCGATATCAATAATATTTTATAGAGTAAATGGTAACCACCACTTATCCGAGTTAATTTGGTTGTAACGTGATAAATTAAATAGTGAATCATACAATAAACTGCTTTTTCAATGCGAATCAGTATTTCCTATGCACCCTCAAAACAATACTTTTAGATTTTACACAGATAATTCAAACGAGTTTAAATCTTTCTCTAATAGTATATTAATCCACATTAAAATTGCTATGAAAATCTAAAATGTTTAAAATTTCAAATGTCGAAAGTAGGACAAAAGCAATGAATCATCGGACTACGTTTTTTTAGCTTAGCTTTCGTAATATATACTATACATGAATGAACTTGTTAATTTTTACGTAAATACCATTTTATAAAATATAAAACATAAAGATCTATTTTATTAGACGAATTAATAAAAACAATTGTAGTTAGATGAATTAATTGTTGGAAAATGTCCATAGATGGCGTTAGCTACGCAGATTGCGAGCCCTATATAAGGTTATTGTTGTTGTTTTGTAATCGTAATAAAAAATAATATTGATAGATACTTATTTATATATATTTATTATAAGAATTATTTTCGACTGTTTATTGGTCTACTAACTTGTAGAATAAAATTATGTTGGCGATGGGAAAGGAAGCATGTTTGTAGGACTCGACACTTCATTCTCTCCAAAACCCAAACAGTATGTCTGTATGATGATCTCAAATTAATATCGGAATTTAAACTAAGTGTTTCATGTTTTGATCTGCGATTATTTGTATTCAAACCATAGTTAGTATGTGGAGTTCTGGGGCCATCAAATTATGTAAACATGAAATTTTAATAATATTTACCTGAGACCCGACTTGTATGAACATGAAAATAACTATATTAATAATTAACTATAGTCCAATTCGTTTCGTTTTTAGAAAATACTTTAAAAAGGTTGGACTAACTACTGCACAGAAAGCAAATTATTGAAGAAAACATCAAAGAAGACACAGAAATAGATTTGACCTATTGTTGTGAGACTAAACGTTAAATATACTATGTACAATAAAGATCTTCGAATAAAAAAAGCTAAAAAATCCAAAGGGCCGAGCTTCGTTTAAGCTATAATCCAGCATGTCAGCTACCGCTTGATTTCACGCCACAGAATGAACCTGATTGCCCTTTGTATCTGGGTTTGAGTCCAATTCAAAAGAATTTATACTTAATATTATAAAGCTGAAGAGTTTACTTGTTAGGTTGAACGTGCTTATCTCAGTAACTTAGATTAGATGATTTGAATTAAAGAAAAGAAAACGTAAAATTTTTGTTTGTAAAAAAGGTTGTGCAAAACGTAAAAAGTCGTAATGCACTTTTTTAAGTTATTCCATTGTATGTATATCGTATTTAAAAAAACATTTAAATAGCAATTGATACGGTATGAATATGTGACTTGGAGTTAAATGGAATGAATTTAATTTTATTTACTTATAATAATATAAGAAGAATATTTTCATTCGCGTTCACCTATAAAACATACCATACAAAAGACAGGTCTGCCACGAGTCCGATTCCTCTTGTATAGATTAGATTTCTCGGTAGTCACTTTATGAACTGTTATTTCGATACAGTATAAGCCACTTTCCCATTATTTGCTTCTATCAACAATGCATTGATCCAGCTAAGAAAATGAAACGTTATGTGTAACAATTTTTAACAAAATATAACTTCATTTACTTCATTATGTATCTCATCTTCACATGGTATCTTCATACATATTATGTTCATTTATAATATACAAACGACTCTCAGTGTTTTTTTAGAACTTGAAACATCAAGTTAGTGCTGTGTAATAAAATTTTGTTTAATTTTGTATTGTTTAAAACTAAAAAGTGAAAAAGCTAGATATATCATGAGGCACTGATGGTATATATATACTTGTTATATATTTTGTAAACTTTGTGAATCTTCTTCACATAAAAATTGCACATCAACAGCTTTCCACTTGTCAATGGGTAGTAAATTAAAATTCCCAACTTCTTTATCTAATAGATGTGTACATGCTATTAAAGTATTTATGGTGCCGAGACCATATTCCTTTATAATAGTCCTTGTTCTTTCTCTGTTATAATGTACCTGGTATTGCAGGTGTCGATAGCCGGACATAATGCAGGGAGAGCCATCACCCCTTTGTAATATCTTATACAACATTAATTATTGTTTTACTTCCACTTCTTCAGGCCAATTGTTCTTTGGCAAACTTCAAATTTATTGTTTCGGGTGTTAGTAAGGGCAGCCATAGTTTAGAATTGGAATAACGCACTACATAGTTTTTTATTCATGGCTGTACCTATGTTTTTTATTATCTAATACCTCTTACATTTTCTATTCTAGTCTCGATTTCTTAAGAACTCTGAAGAAACCTCAGTTCTAAAAGCCCAAGTATGTATAATCTTTGGACATATGGAGTCGTCGTATGGATTTTGTCATGGCTTTTGTTTCGGTAAATTTTTATTTCAATGGTAAATTAACGCCTAATTAAATACTATCAGGACATTGTAACTTAATGGATTTATGGAGTTCCATTACACTGGCATTACAAAATGGCGGATTGCATGCAAATGATGTTTTCGTGTTATTAAAATAACATGTAAATTGTAAACGGATTACGGGGAGTACCATGATGATTTATGGCTGAAATTGTATGGTAATTTCTTGTTTATGTATCTGCTGAATTTGTAGTTTCGTATTACGTTGTTGAGAATAGGTTGCGATATGTGCTGATAGCCGTAACTTCAAGCTAAAATAATATATTGTGTACAATGTACAAACAAACAATATAAGTAAATGCTTCAAATTTAAACAAACTTGTAAATTCAATCATATTTAACAGGGGGCAAAAAATCCAAAGAGTCTTATGTTAGGTGATACCGTCACT